CCCTGTCCAACGTGCTGCTCCCACACCATACTCCTGGGCAAAATACTGTAACAACCACTCTCAGCCTAGAATGTCCTAGCCTCTGAGACACGACAGATGTTCCAGCATCATGAGACCCAGAGTATGTGGGGGCAAAAGCTATGGAGAGAGCTGCCCATAATCTGAGCAGTTTAATGTTTTGCCTTTTAAACCATTTTACCTTCTCTTCTCCCAAATCCAGCCAACGAACAACAGTTAAATAAATATTCATTTCTGGGGAGATCATTTTGTTTTCCTCCTGGTCTTTCCTGAATTGATTTTCACAACTTTTCTCTCCTGCCTTGGCTCTGGATAAAGTAATATTGAAGCATTCACTTTGCTTTGTATTTGGCAAACTTAGGACTTTTCTTTTGACAAAAAAAAAATAAAGTTTCACGTGTAACAAAAGAGGATCTTCGGATTTGTACATATGCCTCAGTGGTGAGCAAAATGGAGAATGGTATTTCAGAACCTTAAAATAAAACTAAAGCACATATGTTCTGTAAAAAGCATTGTTTGACAAGATCAAATTACCCCAAGAGAGGGAACTGATTTCACTAACTGCCTCTCTTGCACATCTGAATCTCCCCCATGAATCTGGCGGAGAGGGTGGGGGTGAAAGGGGTTAAACCCCACCCAGATGCACCTGGGTAATTACCCTCTGGACACTTACTAAGGAGCAGACTGCAGCGCTTAACCTTGAGCAGGCACAGGAGGGGTTACAGGAACTGACACAGCTGGATTTGCATTGAAGAAAAATCCATGGAACAGGCCTGAATAGCCACAAGCTGTGCAAGATTCTTGGAAAGGTCATTCGCAGGCGTACATAAAATGTCTTTTACAAACACACACATACACACACACAAATCTTGATAGCACGTGTGCTTCTGAGGTAAAACCAGATGTTTACAAAATGATCCTTGCTTTCTACAAAAGAGGACACAGGAGGAGAGAGCACTGCTGTAATCAATACCAAAGCATAGGACTTCAGGTTATCAGGACCCGTATCTATGAGGCTGAGGGCGTGTAAGAACAGGCAGTTGACTCTGAAACGTTCACAGAGGTGGATGATTTTTCATCTAGTTTGTTTTGGTTAGTGCCCTGGAGCAAGGCCTCAAAACAATCCCATTTTCCAAGATCGGTTCTTCCCCATATTATAAGCATGTTGTATTTCACCTTTGCTTATAAAATGTCTATAGGAAATAACAAGAATACAGATTACCTAAAAACTTTCTAAATGGAACAATTTGATCACATTTAGCTAATTATCAGTAATAATTATAATATTCCCTGATCTATGAAGTCCCAATAACCTCAAGTACATTATTTTATGTTGATTATTATCAAGTTAAGTAACTAAAAATTCCTGTTACTTGAAGAATTGAGCTATAAATCACAGCAAAATTTTCTCATTTTTCTTATGAGACTATTTGGTTGTTTATGATTTTTAAATTCAGTTCCTTTTTTCTAATTTTAAGTTAGACTCTTATCTGCACCTTCTTTTTCCTAAGGTCCAGCCAGAACATCAACAGGATGAGCTTTTCCATGATGGTGCATGTCTATTACCATGTATGCTTTGCCATGACCCAAACAACAGATTATAGATACCTTGTGACAGCTTTTTCCATCCTCAACTTGACTAGTGTTTTCACATTTTGTTATCTTAAAAACTACATCCGTTTCCACATGCTATATGCCAATTAATACAAACTTGTATACCCTTTGTTTCATTGCCATATGCATTAGAAAGTTGATTAGTTTTCTTCACATAAAGAGGAACTTAAAGCATAAGGAAGAAAATTAAAACTCATAATCCCATCACCTGATTTTTAAAACTTGTTAATATCCCGGGTATATTAAGGTTTGTAGTGAGGCAAAATATTTGAGAATATTAAAAAAGCTAAAAAGCATAATTTTTTAAAAATACCTTTAAATCCCATGGCTTCAGAGATTCCTAGTTCAACTGCACTATTGAATCCAGAAGGTTAGGCGATTTATTTTCTTCGCCAGTGAGTGGCTCCATCAGTCTCCCAATCTGCCCTCCGTGTTCTCTGCACTAAGACAAACTCCCCTCCACTACTCTCTTGCCTCTGAAGCAGTATGGCTGAGTGAGTGGGTGACATAGGATAGGGCCCAGAGAAGACTCTTAACAACGGGAAGGATGAGGAGCTGTAACAACCAGGAGCTAAGATATCAGCCTGGGTGTACGATCCAACGAGGAGCCAGTTAAAATGCAGGTTAAGGCATAGGCTGATATGCTAGGGCTGCTATAACCAAGTGCCATAGACTCAAACAACAGGAATTTGTCTCACAATTCTGGAAGCTAGGAGTCTGAGATGTCAGCAGGGTGGATTCCTCTGAAGTTTCTCTCCTTGGCTTGCAGATGGCTGTCTTCTGTCTTCTCCTTGCATCTTCACATGGTCTTTCTTCTGTGGGGATGAGTTTCCTAATCTCCTCTTCTTACAAGGACAACAGTCAAATAGGATTAGGGCTCACCCTAATGACTTCATCTTAACTTAATCTGTTTAACCGCCCCATCTTAAAATACAGTCTCTTCCTAAGGAATTGGGCTTAGGCCTTCAATATACAAATTTAAAGAGAAGGAGGAAGGGACACACCTCAATTCATAACAGGCTGGTTTAAAGTTGCTGTTAGTCTGGTTAGATTTGGAGGCTTGGGACTAAATGAATTGAGAAGTCCAGACACAAGCGGGCAAAGGAAAAACCGCCAGGTCTGTGAAGCACAGGGGCCACCTTACATCCTGGGGAAATCCTGAGGAAAAGAGCATGGGACTGTGAGTCAAGCGATGACTATTCCAACTCTGCCAACATCTGGCTGTGAGACCTTGAGCAAGACCCTTGTTTATCTGGGCCTCAGTTTCCTCCTCTATAACATAGGCGCACAATGTCAGTTTAAAACGAATCACTAGATGATGTCTACATTCTCTAGAAACCCCGTAATCCACAAAAAGCACACAACACTCAGATTTTACTTCCTGTATCATCGCAATCTTGTCACACTCTTCCCTAGAAACTTGCATTCTTCAGCTCCACCATGGGGGTCCCCTGAACTGATGCCCCTGACCTGGCCCCACTTCCCTACCATTCCCTGACTGTTCTCCCCTTCTATCAATGTCTAGAAAAATCTTTCCCTTCCCTGCCATATCCCCCATTCTCAAGACTCTGCTCAAATTCAGCCTCCTTCATAAAACCTTTCCTAAGCAGAGGTGTCTCCCTTGTATTGTTTGTTTTTATCTTTTACTGGAGACCTGTCTTTCTCCCTAGTCTCACGATTATTTTGTTTCTTATAACTATCTACATAGATTCTTGAGTAAAATAGAGTATCTCAAGTATGCTACCTGTTGCGTAAGAAAAAAAGGGAATGAGAAAATATATCTATATATAAAAATGTATATCTATATATTATATAAGTATATAGATATATATAGTTATGTTTATATGTGTTTATATATCTATATAGTTATATAATCTGTGCACATTTTGCAAAAGCAAACATAGGAAAGTTAAACCAGAAACAAATGAGACTGAGCACCTATGGGCATGGGGTGAGCAGGAATGAGGTAGAATGATGGGAGGGTGGAAAGGAGCAGAAGGAAGATGAGAGGGACGTGTCTTTGAGTATTTCCTTCTGTATTGTTCTGGCTTCTAAAACATATGAATGTTCCACATATAAGCAGACAAACACATAAATAAAATCAGTGAAGTGGGTAAGAAATAAACCTAAAATGGAAGACAAACTAAATGAACCCAACTATATTTCAAATGAATGACATCATCAAGAGGGAGTGGAAGGGAGAAATATTCCTAGCACTCCAACCTGAACTTCAACTAAAGAAAATACACTTTAATCTGAACCTGGGTCTGTGAAGATTTAATGAAGAAAAGGCAGGGAGGGTGCATTCAAAAAAGTTAACTAACTGCTGATTAAGTTTATTTCTCAGCTGATAGGACAGAGATTAGTAGACTCCTACCTGATATCCAGCCCCCGCTTTTCCCCTGTCTTAACAGAACCCTGATTTTATTGGGGCAGCAATGTGCTCAGCTAAAAGACTTTTTCCAGCCTCCCTTGCAGCTGAGAGTGGTCATGTGACATGGTTTTGGCATGTGAGATGGACTGGGAAGTGACTAGGTAGGGTTTCTGAGCAAGCTTTTGAAAGAGGGCTGATTCCGCTGGTCCCTACACTTTGCCCGCCTCATTCTTCTAACAAAAACATGGACGTGAGGCAAAAGGAGGATCAGCAACCTTATGACTACAGATGAGAAGCACACACTAAGGATGATTGGGGGAAAGAGAAAAGGTGTCTGGGTCCCAGAAGACATTATGGGATGGAAATGTCCATTTCCATGGAAATGTCTACTGCCTATCTCCTCCTTTTATTACATGAGAAAATTAAAGAATGAGTTTTAGGAACTCTCCATAACTTATTATGCCAATACTTTTCAGGTGTCTGAACTCACAGCTGAATGCAGATTGTAACACAGCTGTGGCTAGTGATGGAGCTAGATTTACAATCCACATCTTTTGGCCAGGCAATGGTGGCTCATGCCTGCAATCTCAGCACTTTGGGAGGCTGAGGCAGGAGGACTGCTGAAGCCAGGAGTTTGAGACCAGCCTTGGAAACCTGGTGGGTCCTTGTCTCTACAATAAGTAAATTTTTTTTTAAAAAAATAGCTGGGCATGATGGCATGTGTCTATGGTCCCAACTATTCAGGAGGCTGAGGTGGGAGGATTGCTCAAGCTTGGGAGGTCGAGGCTGCAGTATGTCATGATTGAGTTACTGCCCTCCTGCCTGGGCAACAGAGCAAGACTCTCTCAAAAAAAAAAAAAAGTCTGTTATTTTCTACTAGGGTCTGATCAAATTAAGGTTCAGAAGTTTCCCTGGTTACTGATAATTCCACTAATTCACATGAAACTATGAATTACATTTAAAATGTTGCATATGACAATTCTTCCTTCTTTTCTTTTTTTTTTTTTTTTTTTAGAAACTGATGTTTATTTTCTATCAACCATTTTTCCATGTTGCTTAAGAGCCCGTGCAAGAACAGCTTAAGACCATTCAGTGGTTGCTCCTACCCATTCAGTGGCCTGAGCAGTGGGAGCTGCAGACCAGTCTTCCGTGGCAGGCTGAGCACTCCAGTCTTCAGTAGGGAACTGCTGAATAGGCACAGAGGGCACCTGCACACCTTCAGACCAGTCTGCAACCTCAGGCTGAGTAGCAGTGAACTCAGGAGCTGGAGCAGTCCATTCACCCTGAAATTCCTCCTTGGTCACTGCCTTTTCAGCAGCAGCCTGCTCTTCTTTTTCAATCTCTTCAGGATCTCTGTAGAAGTCGAGATCAGGCATGACCTCCCACGGGTGTTCACGGGAAATGGTGCCACGCATGCGCAGAACTTCCCGAGCCAGCATCCACCATATCAAACCCACTGAGTGAGCTCCCTTGTTGTTGCATGGGATGGCAATGTCCACATAGCGCAGAGGAGAATCTGTGTTACACAGAGCAATGGTAAGTAGGTTAACATAAGATGCCTCCGTGAGAGGCTGGTGGTCAGCCCTGGGGTCAGTAACCACAAGAAGCCGTGGCTCCCGGAAGGCTGCCTGGATCTGGTTAGTGAAGGTTCCAGGAGTGAAGTGGCCAGCAATTGGAGTGGCTCCAGTGGCAGCAGCAAACTTCAGCACGGCCCTCTGGCCAGTATTCCTGGAGGATATAACACTGACAACAGCAGGGTTTTCAATGGCAACAATGGCACGAGCCGCCAGCAGAAGCTTCTCCCAGGTCCTCTTCAGATTTATGATGTAGATGCCATCACTTTTCCTTTTATAGATGTACTGTTCCATCTGGAAGTCAAGATTGGTGCCACCTAAGTGGGTTCCTGCTGCAAGGAACTTAAGGACATCCTCCTCCTTCATTTGCAGGACATCAAGGGCTCCGGACATTGTGAAAGTTTCCCTTTAAGTTACGACGGGAATCCAGAACAACGCCGTATGGACCCCTCTGTAGGTAGCGCGGAAAAAGCCCTTCTTTTCTATTTAATGGCTATGAACAAAGAATTTCTTAAAGCTAAGGATAAGCTCTTTTCCTATTATCTGCAGACTTAGACTGAATATCTTCAAAAAAGCCTTGAAGTTCAACCATCGAAAATATAACTTAAATATATCATGGTTTGGATGTTCCAATAACATCACCATAAAAAAAGATATTTCCTTATTCCCAAGTTCATACGCAACCTTCCTCCACTATACTGTATTGCAGTATTTAGAGTCCTGCATCCTTTGTTTACTCTTTATCCATATGTCTTAGGATAAATAAAGAAACAGAACATAGTATCTTTGTTTATTTATCTTTCTCACTAGCTTGCTAGCTTCTTGAGGTCAGGGCCTATCTAGTTTGTACACTAGCTAGCACAATCTCCATCTAAAGGGAGTTGTATTCATTAATATACGATGGAAGGAAGTATGTATAACCTGTACAGAATAGGTTATGCTGGACCCCAGAAAAGCAAAAGACACAATTAAAAGGGCTAATGTTGTGTCCTTTAAGAAAAAAAAATTAATAAAGAGAGGTTTTATTCTACAAACAGGAAAGTATGTATCTGGGTGTTTGGTGTTTTTTTTTTTTTTTTTTCCAAATTAAATTTACTCAGAATCAAATTCTGTTCACTGATTTAGGACAAAATCTCTAAAGATATCATTAGAATCTGAAAAGTGAGATTAACTTACACTGAGTTCATTTGGCTAGAAATCCCAAAACACATCAAGGAACACTCCAGGCCCTTGAGCACAGTGCTATTACACTGCTATTACAGTTCCAGGCATGGAATCCTGACTTAGCGAAAGTGTATAAACTGGGGATAGTGGGGAACCAGACAACAACTCCCAAGGCCAAGTGTAAAACTGCTGTGGCATAACCTCTGCACACCTGTAGGTGATTGGTGGTTCAGAAACATTGTCAGGACAGAGCTCTGCTGGCCGTAGAACCTCCAGGAAATAAACACATGTCAAGTGTGAATCAGCACCATTCCCCAAACCAGGAAGACCCTGTTCTCATGCACTATGTAAGTCTTCTAAACACCAGTACTCATTCAGCACATATGTCTGCTAGCTTACAGTGGGCCAGGCCAGGTCCCAGGAGACAGAGAAGTCAAACAAAATGGGTGACCATTCTGGCTCTGCCACTTCCTAACTGCATGACCCTGCAGGTTCCGTAACCCCTCTGGGCCTCAGCATCCTCACCTGTAACATGAGGGTAATAATGCTACCACCTCAGAAGCTCATTATGAGGATACATGAGTTACTGTTTGTAATATGCATAGGAGAATGCCTGGCCCACAAAGCCATGTTAAGTGTTAGTGATTATCGTTTGTTGAATAAATGAAGAATGAAACCATAATATGAGGCATGTTCATGATATATTTAGATTTTTTAAAAATTACATTTCAAAACAGATACATACAGTAAGATGTTAATATATAATGCACACAAATAGAAAATAGAAGAGTGGTAAATAAAAATATTAATGAGTCTTTCTCTTAGACATGGAATTGCAGATCATCTGCTTCACCTCACATGCTTCACCTTCTGATACATGGTTACCAGATGCCCAGCTAAAGAAAATTAAATCATTAACTTTTCCCTTTTTTTTTTTTTTTTTTGAGATGGAGTCTCACTCTCTTGTCCAGGCTGGAGTGCAATGGCACCATCTTGGCTCACTGCAACCTCCACCTCCCAGGCTCAAGTGATTCTCCTGCCTCAGCCTCCCAAGCAGCTGGGACTACAGGCGCCTGCCACCATACCCAACTAATTTTTGTATTTTTAGTAGAGACAAGGTTTCACTATGTTGGCCAGGCTAATCTCGAACTCCTGATCTCAGGTGATCTGCCCTCCTTGGCCTCCCAAAGTGCTGAGATTACAAGCATGAGCCACCGCGCCCGGCCATCTATAATGTTAAGAATAGATTCTTAGAAATAGCTTTCTTCAAACTAATCAGAGTCAGTGGTAAGCATGAAAATTAGTATAAAAAGTAAACGGACTTGTCTTACAAAGCTGATTCAGCAACACTAGTCTCACTAAATCCTAAATCCCTCTATAGTAACTGGAATCTAGAGAGAGAAATAACACACTGTTTTTAAGGGGGGAAAGGGGAGTAAAAAGCCTCCCATATGGTGTCTGTTAGGATATTTAAGTGATTTTTCCCTTCTGTAACATTAAGAAGTTCCTCCCTCCCTTTTACCTGGTTTGATATTTAAAACCAAGAGTAACAGTCTATGGTTTTAGCAATTTTATCAAAACTGCATTGTCCAATCGCACAGAAAAATGAGAAGAACTTTGTAAAACCCAAGCAAGCAGAAGAGGAATCTATACAGAGAGCAAAGAACATTTTCTTTTCTCCTTTGGTGTTGAATTCACTTAGAATTTGGTCATGGAAATGCTGCTTAGGTTTCCTGGTGCCAATGTAACTATATGCCTGAGTGCTGTTTTGAATTCACAAGTACATCTTTGACAGCAGGGCTGCAGCACTGTTGAAAAGAGACTTGGGCTTAAGTCTTGGAGCAATGAAGATTGATGCCAGGCAGCATAAACAAGACACTGAAACTTTCTGAGCCTCAGATCCCTCATCTATGAAATGGGCATATCAATATTGCTTTGAAGAATTGTTACAAAGTATGCAAATTTAGGAGATACAAAGGGGAAAATGTTAAAGGCACAAAAGGAAAGAAAAGGCAGGCCGGGCGCGGTGGCTCAAGCCTGTAATCCCAGCACTTTGGGAGGCCGAGACAGGCGGATCACGAGGTCAGGAGATCGAGACCATCCTGGCTAACACGGTGAAACCCCGTCTCTACTAAAAAATACAAAAAACTAGCCGGGTGAGGTGGCGGGCGCCTGTAGTCCCAGCTACTCGGGAGGCTGAGGCAGGAGAATGGCGTAAACCTGGGAGGCGGAGCTTGCAGTGAGCTGAGATCCGGCCACTGCACTCCAGCCTGGGCGACAGAGTGAGACTCTGTCTCAAAAAAAAAAAAAAAAAAAAGAAAAGGCAAAAGATTCCACTGTGTATATGGCAAGGATGCAACTATCAACGTGCTGGGTTTGTGGTCGGGGGACTCTGGCAGGCATCTGGGTACAGTATACTCATGCCTGCATATGCGGCTACAGTCAGTCAAATTACTGAAAATCTTCTGAATGCAGATTTTGTGGAGAAATTCAGTGAGTTAGGAATGAAAGAGACTGATGAGGAAGGCAAAGTAAACAGTGTTCTTAGGACCTCTGGCAGCACCTGGTCCACACCCTAGATCTGAACAACTGTGTCTGGGCTGCACAGAACCTGGCCTGAGAAACTGTAGGCTTGAAGAAGCAGGTCCTGTGTGATGGAGAGCTTTGCCTGTCCCAGTGCTTCTTGGTGGGTGGCAGGAGTACTTTATGTACTGTTTCCATGGAGAAGCACAAACCTTCCAGGAGATTTATTAACTTCATTTCCCCATCATACAACAGGGAGATATTTTTGTCCTCTATTGGGGTGGGCAGATCATAAAGTTGCAGAAATTAGGCCAGAAGGACCAAGAAAAGTGGAAGCCAAAGAGCAAGGTCTCTCTGGGAAGCCTTCCCTGACCTGCCAGGCAGGGGGAAAACTCCCTCTGCAGTGAGTACGGCGTCATACAGCTTACCTCTCAGGAACCTCCTGTGTTCTCGTTCTCTCTCTTCCCTCCTTTCTCTCCCTCTCTCACTCCATTCCCTGTTCTTTCTCTTGTTTAGCTTATCTTCCCCCCCTCTTTTCCTGTGTCTCCTTTCCACTTTTCCTCTCTTCTTTCCTTTTTATTTTTTTCTCTTTCCTTCCTTCTTTCTTTCCCTCCTCCTTTGTCTTATCTTTCATTCTCTTTCTCTTCTTTGTCTTTCACCTTTTTTCACTCTGTGTTTCTTGAACACCTACCATCCTGGAACCTGGTACCATGCTTTGCAGACCTTTATTATAGCAAATGGTGTCTTCTTCTTCCTTTACTCTTTTTTTTTTTTAACTCCTTTATCCAAAAAAAAAAAAAGGTAAGCATCTATTATGGTGCCCGACATCCAACAGAAAAACTATTTTTTTAATTTCAATTCAGAAAACATCTATTCACCTGCTGTACTATACTGGAAACTAGGGATAACAGAATTGAATAATATATAGCCCTTGGCCCCAAGGAGCTCACAGGTCATGAAAGACCCATAAGTGAACAGAAAACAAATGACATTTTGTCCATAAGGCAGAAATAGCCAGGTGTTCAAAGATTTGCACACTCCTTTCAAGATGCAAAATCATTGCTGGGATGAGACCAGCAAGGATCTACATTTCTTGCCACAACCCCTCCAGTTGTCTAAATGTAGTTGGCAACAGAATGAGCTCTGGCCAAAAAGGCCCTTTTGGAAACTTCCAAGCCTTCCCTCTCCTCTGTCTCCTGGCTGGAGATTGACAGTAAGTTAAACAAAGAAGACACAGGTTGAAGATGGCAGAACCTCTGTCAGGCTGGGTCCCTGAATGACTATATGGAACAGAGTCGCTCAATCTACTTCGATTTGGGCTTTACATGAGCAAGAAATGTACTTTTATTTTATTAAGCTGAGTTACCAAGGATTATCAGTTATGACAGCTAGTATTATCTTAACTAATACAATGTGACAGTTCATTTGATAAATATCAATTAAGCACTTCTATATAGCAGATATTGTCTAGGGATAGATCAGTGAACAAAAGAGACAAATATCTCTGCCCTTCTGCTGCTGACCTCCTGTTGGGTACCTAGCTCCAGAGTAGGTGTTCAAAAAATATTTATGGAAGACATAGCTTAAAGACTCATTGAGCTTACATTTTAGGAAAAAGAATGAAGGAACCGGGAAACAAGGAAACTTTACATGGAAAACAGTAAATACTTTTGGAACATAGCCTCGATTTCACTGAGTGGAAAAGCCTCTTTTCCCTTTTTCCTGTTTATTGAATATGAACACTGCCCTCTGCACCCAATCTCAGATAGGGAGATGTCTCATG